TGTTAGGGAACTGCCCAAGTCGAAATGACATGTTAAAAATATGGGTTAATGGTTTGCATATCCCCTCAATTACCCATTTAACAGTTGTCATGGTGATACCATCACTATCACTGGATGTTTTGTTACCACATTTGTTCACTATCTCTATAATTTCCTTTTCAGCAATGGGCTTCAAAAACATGGAACTCATGTTTCTTTCGATTGTTTTATTATTTATAGTGACGGATGTATCATCTGTACAGATACTTTTTGCTAAACCAGGACCAACATTCACAAAGAACCTATTAAACTTTTCAACTACATCAGCTACATCATACATGAATATTAGGAACACCTCTGAACATAATGTAGTCCAAGTACACCACCACCTTTAACTATGACCTCAGTAATAAACATATAATTGAATTTATACATTCATGACAATTTCACCAAGAACTGAAACGTTTTGAGCTTCAGAAACACAAATGTTAAAGCAAAAGTGTTGCATTGGACTGCATACAACTGCACAGGTGTACATAAAGTGGCCAGTGATTGTAAATATTGGTGGTGACTGTAAGAAATTTCAAACTAAAATTCATGTTTGCTATTGCATACAAGTATGGATAGTAATTAAGATACAATTACATTCTTATAGATGTTATCTCTGATCACACTGTAATTGAACATTCACAAATATACTTAGAAATCATAAAAAAAGACTACTTATTACTCCTAAAAGTTTTTTTTTTCAAACAGTTGCTGCTAATACCTCATGTGGCCCACTGTTAATGGTGCCACTTTGCCAAAATGTAAATAAAAGCAATAAAAACAGGGCAAACTCGCTCTTGTGACACACTTTGAAAACCATGGTTCTACAGTCATAACAACAGCTCTGTGAGGCTTGCTTTTGCTTTATAGGTTTTCTGGAAAAGTCACAAGGGAAAAGGTTTGTAGCTGAAAGAAAAAGTCATCTTTAAACAAAGTTTAAACTGTCCCTCTAGTAGGAGGAACAGTCCTTGGTCGGTCTGTCTTAACACTCTGCGCCAAGCCGTGCCGTGGTGAGTGGTTTCCATAACTGCAACATCTAACATGAATCGAGGCTGCGGTTAACATTCAGCAGTAAAAATAAGCGTGTTCACAATATTTCAGCAGAACCCCCTTCACTTCAGCTGTTCCATATTGAGTCACTATTGGTCACAAAGGTGAGGTTTCATTTTCTTGAAAAATATGTGGTTATGATTCAGCGATGAAACCAAAACAGTTGTAATACAATGCTGCAAGTTAGCTATTACCACTTAAAGCTCAATTTACATGAATCAGTCTCACTCTTATCACTAGTGTCTGGCCAGTTTGGTTTTGAGATTAGTCATAAGGCCACGTTCACACTGCAGGCTGAAGTGGCTCAAGTCCGATCTTTTTGCCCAAATGTGACCCATATCCGATTTCCTTATGACAGTGTGAACAGCACAAATCCGATTTTTTTTTTTCAAATCCGGCCCAGGCCACTTTCATATGTGGTCCTAAATCGGATACATATCCGATGTTTTGCAATGCGACTTCAGTCTGAACGGCCATGTCGCATTTCATGCGATTTTTATGTCATTGAAATGCTACAGACGTCACAATTCTGCGCTGGAGGAGGCGAGGCCATAAGCAATATTTGTGCCCTCCTTCTTCTTGATATTCTTCTTATAATTATTTCTTTATTTCGATTGCATATTAACTGGTACATCGCTACGCACATGCTATCACGAGCCGCATCCATTTTTATTTCCGCAAACACTGCGCTGCGTCTGACGCCACGTCCTCTTCTGCGCATGCGGGTAACCTCAGGGCCGTATACCGTTCACACATGAGACAGATGGCAGTCGCATTTAAATGACAGTGTGAACAACAGCGCAAAAAAATTGGATTTCGGCAAAAACTCCGATCTGAGCATTAAGACCTGCAGTGTGAACGGTTAGAGTAGCATTTCAAATGCAATTTAAACAACTAAGAGTCTGACTAACAAAAACACCGGGTCCCACAGTTCCCATAATGCAACCAAAAGCATCTTTATTAGACCTTCTCTGTCTTTAGATTCCAAGCTGCACATTAAAAAGGTCTACAAGCCAAATACAGCATTTCTTGGCAAAACTACCTTCAGACTCACAAACATTACACGTCTGCTCTCACAGGCTGAGCAGTTGATCTACATCACTGACTTTCTGTAGAATCAGTGGAGTTCCCCTTTTTTAAATATGGTACTTTGGGAAAATGACTCCGAGCACATTCTGTAACAACATGAAGGATAAGAACAGTACAGCACATCCACACTGACATCAGCAGCAACAAAGAACCCGTAATAACCAAACTGTTTTTTGTGATAAAGCAATTGTGTGCGGCTATTTTCTTATTTTCTAAAAATAATTAGCAATAATGAAAAAAAAAAAACAATGTAAACCATGATGCAGGTTAGTACTGAATTCAATGACAAGTTCTTAATGTTAAATGAAGAACTGACTCCTGTGAAATTACAGAGAATACTCACTAATATTACTTCATATATTCCAAAATTAGTAGCATAGTTGTAAATATAATTTTGTTTTGTTTTTATAGAAAATCCCTGGGCTAGAAAAGTTGTAAAACATGAAAAATAAAATTGAAGGGGAAAAACAATTTGAATTATGGGAAATTGCTGTATTTTTAGAAGATGGTTATTTTCTGGCGCCCAAGCAGCTGGCATTTCACTTTCTATTTTCCCTTTCCTACAGTGTATGCAGAAGCAACAATTTGGGTTGCTGCAGGTGTAGCTGAAATCACCTAAAAACCAGCCACAGAACCAAAAGAATTGTCTATAGTGTCCCACAGGGGAAATTGGGAATGTTCATGTTCTACTTGGCATAGGCCCAGGGGCCCCTGGGGTTTGTCTACAAAATGTCCTAGAAAATGGCCCATAACCATTACCCACTTTGATTAAACTTTGCCAAAGAATTTCAACAGCATGACAAGTTTTTAAAGAAGCAATGACCTGACCAAGTAAGGCCCCTGACTTGGATCCAGTAGCACACTTGTGGAGATTTTATAAAATTAATAAAACTGACAGTGGAAAACCAGAAAACTACATTATCTGCTTATAATCATGTAGTTTTCTAAAGCTACAAAAATAAGTGGCTACTGTTTTAGAATTCATTCATACACAACTGTAAGCAAACAAAATTTAGGTCGATTATTAAGCATGTTATACATGTATAACAACAATAAAAATACAAATATATTAAAAAGAAAACTAAATGATGAATAAACCTTAGTAGGATAAGGATAATTAACTTTATTGGCAAAGTATGTTACACACAAGGAACTGGTTTCTGGTACAGAACTAAGGCAGCCATCTGCGGCACCAACTCAACCTTCCGGGTGGGAGACTACTGCTCTACGCACTGTACCACTGTCGCCTCCGCCAAGAGAGTATATAATAATAATAATACTACTAATAATGTGATCAACTAAATAGAACAGTAAGTTTTTTTTGTTTGTCAGTGTAAAGTGGCAGCTGTACAGTATTTAACTTGAGCTTATGTTGATTAAATGGATGGCTTTCAGCTGAAGACAATGCTTGCAGCATACTTTTATTGTTTTATTGTTTATTATTTTTTCAGCATTACGCAGTGGGTTAGGTTGTACAGGTACAGTGGAAGCACACACCTATATTTTTTCAGCATTTTACATTTATTTAGAATATATGAGGGATAACATATGTTTCTTTAAAGAAATGAAGCAGGTTATGTAACTGATAATTCCTACTAGGATACAACTACATGCCTGTACAGTTCGTGTTATTTTCTTAAGCAATGCAAAATGTAGCCTGGATTATTATAACTATCCTATTATATATATATATATGCACTAAT